ATAGCAAGTTAACATTTTGTTCTTTCAGCATTTTACCTTCCCAGCATGCCTCCAAGCAACAGTCACAAATTAACCAAAGTTGATTTAATACCTGAATACATTCATGATGTTAGAATCATAAATGGCACTTAACATATGCACCACGGAAGTGCTAAGTGCACCCACCAAGTCAAACCTGTTAGTCAGTGGCAGAGTATGAAGTGTTTCATAAACTGTGCGTACAACAGGGACCTCAGTGGGGTACAATGCCATAGTAGACTCCACCCTCAAAACTATCCATTTTCTCCAGGGAAACCTTATCTCTGTAGTCTGGAGATGAGTTGTAGTTCTGGGGGATCTCCAGGTCCCACATGGAGGCTGGCATCCCTAGGTGGTGTAGCCGTGTTGGTCTGAAGCAGCAGAACAAAGTTGGTGTCCAGGGGCACCTTTAAGACCGACAAAGTTTTCATGTGCAAGCACACTGTATCTGATGAAGTGTGCTTGCACACGGAAGGAAGCTTATACTGTGCATAAAACTGTTGGCCTTGAAGGTTCCCCTGGACTTAAACTTTATCAAGAAGTCATCATGGGGGGGGGGGGACCCTTTCTGTACTGTGAACGTGGCAGGGTTCTTAAACGGGTCATTTCATAGAAAAAGAGGTGCAGGAGCTCATTAGCATAACTCATTAGCATAACTTATTTGCATGTGCCACACCCCCTGACATCACCGGAAGTATGTCAGAAGGCAGCACCCTCCGCTCAGGCTCCACTGGACTGTTTTGGATTGCTAGCTATTGTGGGGGGGGGGGGGAATGTGCAGACTGGTCCTCGCAGAGGAGGTAGAGCTTGTACCTGAATAAAACTTGGTATTAAAGGTGTCACTGGACTGTTTTGGACCAGGGGCCGGGGGAGGCCCTCTGCAACTTACCTGGCTGCTTCTAGTTCTGACTGAGGGCTGCTGGGAGCAGGGGTGGGGTTTGTAGCATGTGCCTGCCCCCTGGGCTCTTTATTGCCGGAGCTCCGCTCCTGTGCGCTCCCGCAGGAAATGACCCCTGGTTCTTAACAGGGTTAAGGAATAATGTTCATTTCAGTGTGATACACATTTCTAGCTGTAACTTCTGTAGTTTGCTATTTCATTACATTTTCATTTTTAGGGATTGCAGGCCAAGTGACAGGCAGATAGGAGAAAACGCACGGGTTTTGATGTAAATCCTTGAGGTGGCGTGCATTGCCGCAAAGCAGGCTGTGTTACAAAGTGGGAACCACGATGCTGTCAAGTTGCCAACTCAGGTTTGAGAAATTTCTGGAGATTTGGGGGTGGAGCATCAGAAGGCTAGAGTTTGGAGAAGGGAGTCCACACTCCAAACCTGCCATTTTCTCCAGGGTCACAGACCTCTGCGGTCTAGAGATGAGTTGTAATTCCTGGATATCTCCAGGCCCCACCTGGGGACTGGTAGCCCCAAAAGTTGCAACATAGAGACACCTCCAACGAATAGATTTTCCATTCTCCAGGTGGTAGCTGGAGATCACCGGGGATTACAGCTGATCTCCAGACGACAGAGATCTGTTCCCCTGGAGAAAATGGGCTTCTTTGGAAGCTAGACTCATGGCATTATACCCCACTGAGGTCCCTCCCTTCCCCAAATCCCACCCTCCACAGCTCCACCCCCAAAATCTCCAGGTATTTCCCAATGCAGAGCTGCCAAAGAAGCAGATATATGAGGGGGCACAAGGAAGCATCAGCCCAAGAAAGGAAGATAGCCCAGCAGAGCCACCATCCCTGCCTTGGGCTTAAACCTAATTCCCCATTTTGGGCGATTTTGCACTAGAGCTGCCTCGCGGCGCAGCCGCCGTTTGCCCCGACACTATTTGTCAATTTCACACCCGAGGCTGTGGGGCTGCATTTGACCCGCGGCTTCGCCCGATTTCCTCCGCAGTTTCGTGAACCTCAAAAACCAGGATCACGAAACTGCGGAGGAAATTGGGCGAAGCTGCGAGTCAAAATGCAACCCCGCAGCTTCGGGTGTGAAATTGACATGTTTGTGTCGGGGCAAATGGCGGCTGTGCCGCGAGGCAGCTCTAGTGCGAAATCGCCCTTTGTGTTGAGAGAAATACACAAGAATGGAGTATATGTGTTCATTGCACTGCAGATAATGAGAATACCAAACAATGCTGACTCTGATACATTGGCAGAGCATAGGATTAAAAGACACATTTTTAATGCTGAACATGAACCGCCATTCCTTTGCTTAGCTTCCAGTGACCTTTTGTCAAATAAATATCCTGGTTCTTATTAAAATCCAGCAGTCATTCCCAAATCCGTTCACTCTGACTAGCTCTCCCCATACCTTCACCCCAACAGTGTAGTTATAAGAAAAGACAGTAAGAGAAGGGTATCATTGTATTGTTAAGCTTGAATCTGCCATCTTTCTTGAGAAGAGCAATAGTCTAGTAGCACCTTAAAGACCAACAACATTTGTGGCAGGGTACGAGCTTTCGTGCGGAGCTGTGGTGGCTCAAGTGGTTAAGACGCTGAACTGCAGGCTGTGGAAGGTCGGTAGTTCAGCAGTTCGAGACCCGAGTGTGCCGCATGATGAAGTGAGCTCCCGTCTCTAGCTCCAGCTCCTGCCATCCTAGCAGTTCGAAAGCAAGAAATTGCAAGTAGATAAATAGGTACCACTTCGGTGGGACGGTAACAGCGTTCCGTGCGCCTTGGTGTTTAGTCATGCCGGCCACATGGCCACGGAAACGTCTTTGGACAGCGCTGGCTCTTCGGCTTTGAAACGGAGATGAGCACCGCAACCCTAGAGTCGGATTCGACTGGCTTTTGAGCAAGGGAACCTTTACCTTTACCTTACAAGCTTTTGTGAAGAGAAAAGATTGAGAAGAGATTGAATTTAATTTTTAAAGTACCCGAAGGTACACCTTTATTATTTTCTTCTATACCTACACACAGACATAAACAACTACAACAAACAACATATAGGCCAAGAGACTTATTACAATTTGCTACTACCTCTACATCATCACTTCATTATTCTCCAACATTTGCTAATATTCTCTAATTCCATTATTATAAATTGCTACACACTCCAATGTTAATTTTACCATATCAGCTTAATCTTTAAGTCCATTCTTATTGTACCAATCATATAGCCTCTTCCATGTTTTTTGAAATGTCCATTTCTTTGTGCCTCTCATTTCCATGGTTAATTTGTCCATTTCCGCAGCTTCTAGTAGTTTATTAATGTATTCTTCTTTAGTTGGTGTTTCTTGGGTCTTCCAATATTTGGCGTACAATATCCTTGCTGCCGTTGACATATATACAATCAAGTATCTATCCGTTTCTTTAAACTCTTTCGGAAAGATATTTAAGAAAAGCAATTCAGGAGTAAAGGGGATGTTACATCTTACTATTTTTTCCATCATACAATGTACCCATTTCCAAAAGAGATTGGATTGGGTTTATACCCCACCCTTCACTACCCAGAAGAGTCTCAGAGCGGTTTACAATCTCCTTTCCCTTCC